CTCAGGGCTCTCAGGAGTGACTTCCTGAGCCTTCCCTTTCAAGCAATAGAATGCAGTCTGGTTCAAATTGCCCCTTCAGGTAAACAATGGGAAGAGGAAGCTCTAGATGAGTTTGAGAGACTTATTCACTTTGCTGACTCGAAGCTATTGGTGGCCAAGATCTCTAGCTATGTCCAGACTAGAATCTCAACTTGGCCAAAAATCCATTTATATGATACCAGTAATGGGAAGAAACTTGATACTGGGCTAGAATTAGTTCACAAAGGATATTAAGTAGAACTTCCTGAAAATGTGGAAAAAGATGGAAAGGTCCCAGATGTGTTGAAGGACATGGCCCCTGAAACAGATGCTTCTCTTGCCAGCATACTCAATGAGACCAAAGAGAGCCCTGAAGAGACACCACATACCCTGTCCTGCCTCAGCTTATCAGAAGAAACTATATAGTGCTTTCTTATGTAGCCCAGGTTTCAACTGTGAAGTTTTCAGAACTAACTTCTCATCAGTTATCATTTTCATTAAATAAAATGATTTTGAGTAAGAAAAAAAGAGAGATGGCTCAGAGGTTAAGAGAGAGTTCCATGTGCTCATGGTCGCTTAAGAGCCCATGCTGCGTCATTCTGACCTCACCTTGACCACGCCTTGACAGGTGTGGTCAGCCACACCCGTAGCCAGCCCTTAGGAGGCATGGTTATGGTGTCTTCCTACAGCTCTGTTTGTATTTCTTTCCCCCTAGGTGTTCAGCCCTCCCCTCTCTCAATTTTCTGCTCAAATATTCATATTCTCAATGAGCTCTCTGCTGACCATTTCATTTAAAATTACAGCTTATATCTTCAGATTCATCTTCTGACTTATAACATGCATGGCCCTATGTAATACAAATATATCCATTTATGCATTATTCTTGGTATCCAACCCACACACATTAATATAACATATATGATAAGATTATTTCTTAAATTTCTTTAGTCCATGGAACAGAGTTTTACACATGATGGGCACTCAATACCTACTTTTTTAAATGATGACAATAAAAGTATGTTTCCTAATCTTGTTTTTCTAAACCATTTGCAGAAAAATGCCCGGGAGACCCAGGGCACCTCATCCCCAGTGAACTTTGAGTTAGCTAGTCTTTGATTATATTGTTTATTAGTAGTATATGCAATGTAGGGAGACACAGAGTAAGAGAGAGGAGAGACAGAGACAGAGAGAGGGAGGGAGAGAGAAAGAGGAAGAGAGAGAGGGGGGGAGAGGGGGAGGTTAGAGGACAACTTTGGGAGTCTGTTTTCTCCTTCTACTTTGTTGAGACAAGGTCTGCTTACAGTGTCACCCATCATTCGGGCTGTTTGTCCTATTAGCTTCCAGGTGAGTCTATTGTCACCATCCCCCATTTTGCTGTCTGATTGCTAAGATTGCAGATGTGTGCCATCATCTCTGTCTTTTTATGTGGCTTTGGGACTTGGACTCAGGTCATCAGACTCTTATAGCAAAGTGTTTTTACCCTCTAAACCAGCTCATTGGCCCTGATTTAATATTTTTGAAAATTACAAAATAGTCTGTGATACTTAGTGCTTGTGCCCTTTTTAAAATTGGTCAGGAGACACCCAGCAATGCTCAAAATGGACGTTCACATGAAAGCCAGTCTCCCACCCCTGGATTCAGATAGCACAATCTCAATTATCTGTGTGGGTCCCACATAATCACCTGAGCCTGACAAGGCAGAATGAGAGGGCAGTCACGCAGAGTTGAGGAGAAGAAAGGGAGAGGAGCACTCCAGATGTGGCTTTGACACAGAAACAAAACAGAAATGGTAAGCCATGAGCCGAGCAATATGGCAGCCTCTGGAATCCTAGAACAGCTCCTGGCTAAGCCAGGGAGGAAATGGAAGGAAGCCCTCAGTGCTATACATGCCTCGGCTGAATTCGTCCAACAACAAAATGGAATTGAAATTAGTGATTCCCTAAAGCCCAAGGACAAAGCTACATCCCTCCAGACACCTTGATCATGGTCTTGGGAAAGTACATGAAAGAAATATTTGAGGCAGAGATGTGGCCCACAGAACGTCTGCTAACACCATGTTTTTCTTCTCTAACAGAAGCTTTAGATTCATGTTGGACTTTTGTAGTTTATTTTGTCACCATGCCATTATTCCATCCTTTCCTGGACAATTTCAAACAGCAATGTATTCAGAGGATCATGGGAAATAATCTATAAACTACTGACATGTGTGTTTGTGTTGCCTAACACAGTTTTCTCTTCTCTTTCAGCATTTGCCACTTGGTTATCAATAAAATAAGCTAGGTGGCTTCATGTACTGTTGGTGGATATTCAAAATAGGACACTCCCTCCATTGACTCATTTGCCATTAGGAACATGTGATGGTTAAATTTGTCAACATGACACTACCTAGAATCTCCTAGGAGTAGTCTCAGTGAGGGATTGTTTTCCAGTGGGTCACACGGTAATCATGTCAATGGGGAATCACCTTAATTAACCAATGTGGGAAGAGCCAGCCCATTGAAGATGGCACCATTCCCTAGGTAGATAAACACAAACAAGTATGCATGCATCATTTTCTGTCTGCTCCTGCTCATTGTACACATGACCTGGCTAGCTGTGGGAAGTTCTTGTCTTGACTTTCCCACATTAGGGAACTCAGCATTGCACTGGGGCTAAAAAGTCCTTCCTTTCCTAATTTTTTGGGGGGTCGGGATATTTTATCACAGCAACAGAAATAAACCAGGACAGCATTAGAAATTAATTCCCAAGCTCCTTCTGGTCCAACTCTTTCATGGTCAGGAATGTCTCAATAAAGGAACAATGGCAGTGGCAAAAGTCACACATATGTACATTCCTAATACATTAGTATTTAAAGTCTAACAAAGCCTGCCAATTATTTTACATTTGGTTGAAATGTTCTTTTTAAAATGATATGCTGATGAGCATAAGTCACTGATATGTAAATTAAACATGAAACAGCTACGTTGTGCCAAAGCTAATACAATGCAGCAACATTATGTATGTGATTGGTTAGTTGACTTGTCTCTCTTGGCCTCTCTGCCTCTGTCTGTCCCTAGGGGTAATTCAGATAGATATACTGATGGACACATGCTAGATACATAATTCTGAACTATATAAACAATACAGCTCTTTAAAAAGCACTTTTCTTTCAGTTATGTATTTAAAAGTATATCTCTGTGTGTGTGTGTGTTTGTGTGCACACAAATGCAGGTACCTATACAGGCCAGAAGAGGGAGTCAGATCCCCTGAAGTCAGGATTACAGTCAGCCGTGAGCTGCCTGACTTGGAGTCTGGAAACCTAACTCCGGTTAGTTAAAAAAAGAAAGTAAAAGACACAATGCAGTTTCGTAGAGTTGTGTGCTGAATATTTAGAAATATCTTTCAATAAGTTGAAAGGTGGT